TGGCAGGTGGTAAGGGTGGAGCACTATTCGAACGAGATTTAGGGGTTGCAGGCGAGGAAATATTAGCCAAAGTTTCCAGTCCCAACTGTCCTATTTGGGCTATTCCGTCATTGAGTTGGACGATAAGTTTAATAATTTCTGCACTGGTCATTTCCAGGCGGGTTAATTTTTCTCCTTCTCCTCAATTGGCTTTAATAAATGATTCCGTCGCTGCTTCGTTTTCTTTGACCTCTATCGCGGCTTCTATAACGCTTTCTGCTTTCTCTGAAATTAGGCTAGCCGTTTCTAGTTTTCGTTCGTAATCTTGACATTGTTTTTTTAAACTCTTAATAGTCTCTTGTAGGATGTTTATCTGTTTATTAGCTTGGGATTTTTCTTTGACATGACTATTTCTTTCCTCAAAAATTTGGTTTAAAATATGCTTATATGCTGCTTCAAATTCTTTAAAATTGCCCGATTGAGTTAGGTGCAAGTCGGAAATGTCCGTCGGGGTTGTTCCTGTGGTGGCATCTTTTTTTCTTCTTTTAACATCAATATCTAGGATACTTGTTGCTTCCCGTAATTTTTTTGATAAACTATTTCTTCTTTTTTGGCTATCGCTTCCCCCAGAATCATAGGGAGTAGTGGAGGGAGAATAATGGGGAAAAATAGGAGAATTAGGAGAAGTTTGAATAGTAAGGCTTTTTCTGCCGACACCTCGACTAGCTTTTTTTGGGCTGATCGGAGAACTGGCGCGATTGGGAAGTACTAAGGGTCCCAAAGTTGACTCGGAAAAAGTTGGCTGCCTTAAATCAAGACCAGCTGAGTCAGAGCTACTTCTAGATTTAGGACGATAAGAGAAATATTCAGATGAGGTTGAGGAAGAACTATCGGCGGAAATTGCCGCTTCGTCCGAGGTTATTTTACCATCACTACTAGGAGTAGTAGAAACACTTCTGACCCCTATTTCTACGGTTGTGAATCCTTTTTCTGCCACTTCGCTGGCTAAACTGTTTGTATTGCTTAGGCTGCTCCCACTGTTTCGGCGACTATTAGGATCACTTTTATATGCTCCTAAATTTGCTAATCTTTCTTCATTCGTCGGACTATCACTACCTGGTGTTTGATTAATTTTCTGAGTTAGTTTAACATTTTCATTCTCTAATTCCTCTATTTTTTTTCGTGCCTCGGATAAACTTTGCTGATAATTATCAAATACTTTCAGCCAATGATCATCTTTGGGGGGACCATTTTTAACTTTTAATCCCGCAACTATTTTATTTAAGCGATAATTGTCGTCCCATAAGTTTCGTAATTTCGTTTGATAATCTATTTTATCATCTTCATAGGCTTCTTCAATTTCATTTTGTCTTTTTATATTTTCTTTTAACCTCTCTATTTCTCAATCTTTTTGTTTTATTTCTCAATTTAGGGCGGTGCTATGGTCAACTAGTTGTTCCCTCTCTCATTTGTTTTTTTCTAAACTGATTCTCTGCTCCCGAATTTTGGTGTTTAAATTTTTTATTTTTTCCTCTTTTTGGACTAACTTGACTCCTCAATATTCTTTTCATAAATCTAAATTTTTGTCATCACCGGTCCTACTAATCTCTCCTTCTAACTCAAGAATTTCTTTCTCGACATAAATGCGGTATTCATCTGCCTCCTTTTTTACTGCTTCTTCTCATTCTCCAATCAGTCTCTCTAAATTATTTAAATCCGGAGTGAGCTGACTAACTTCCTGCGAACACTCTCAAGATTTTTCTCAACAAAATTGAAAAAATCAGTCTAGTTTTTGGTCGTTAGTAAGGTTAGGATTTAGATTGTTAATAATTCCCGCAATTCCCGCATTAACTTGATTAATTAATTCTTCGGGGATATGGTCTTTCCTTTCCTTTTCGTCTTCTTTTCTTTTGGCTATTAAATCTTTTATTTGGTTAATTTTCTCTTGGCTGTTATTCATATTTAGGTCATATTCATTTATATAGTATATTTATTAGTTCTGGAAAGATAGTATTGTTAAACTTCTTAGCTTCACTAGTTAAAATATGAATAACATTGCAGATAAAAGACATGAGTCATGTGAAGGGTGCGGATTTTATATTTTTTTAAGTTATCAGAACTTTTTTACTCTGTTAAAAAACAGGTTTTTTTATTCCCTAATTTCCTTTTGGTCTATATGAATTAA